ATGGGAGTGACTTTAGGGTTTTTCTTCATTTACTTAAGAGGATCTTAGTCCACTTTCACTGTTAAGAACTTTTTGGGTCTTCAATTAGAATGCAGCTTGCATTACTTTAATTTAATTATATCTTTCCACCATGAAGCCATTGTATATAAGCATCAATAACTAAAGGAAGATCAATCCTTAAATAAATACAATCTTTAAATACTAGTTTAGACATAATCGTGCCAAGTTTGACATGGTCAGAGTTCTCAGTTACATTCATAAAAAAAAATCGAAGCAATTAAGTTATGTTATAAAAAATGGTACATAATGTTGTTATACAAATCAAGAAAAAAGTTGTACAAAATTAAAAAAGGAAAGAGAATTATTTTTTTTTATCTTACACTAATAAAAAAAATTTATACAACAAGATTTTAAATTGATTAATAATTAATCAATATAATAAAATATATATAGTAAAATTTTTGAAAATAACATAAAATTTGTAATATCGATCGTTAAAATAACTGATATATCAATTATTTTTTGAATTAATATAAAAAATAAAAAAATAAAAAATAAAGAAGAAAATTTTCAATTTTGTGTTAAAAATTATGTTTTTTTTTATAGTTTACAACAATAATGATAAGAAATTACAGTTTTTTATATGAGTTGCTAAATAATTGATGTAAAAAGTATTTTATATATAAAATGTTTTGAGAACTTATGTAAAATATATTTTTTATATTGATTGTTTTTAGAATTAATGAAAAAAAAGGTGTAATTTTTATATTGATTTATTTTAAAATCTATGTAAAGTATTTTTTTACTGTGATTTCAAAATCATGAAAAAAATATTTTTTTATATAGATTGTTTGTAGAATCAATTCAAAATGAAATATTTTAAGGACACACGTTAATGAAGTAATATAAATTGGAAATGGTAAACACAAATTTTTACTTATATTTTTTATAGACTCAACAAAGATTAACCATAAATAATATATGTTGCTAAACATTGATAACAAATATAATATAATGATGAACATTTACGATAAATACTATATATTTTTTATTTTCAATATAACGAATATTAAATATTGAAGATGAACATTGATGATAAACATTAACACTGTTAATGACATTAAAAAAACATTGACACCAAAATTTTTTTTTGCTACATTTACTATTATTAAAGTATTACTTTTAAATAAAATTAAATAATTATTTATGTTCTTAAAGCATACTTATAAAAGGGGTGTCTGCTTGAGTATAAATAAGTTTCAGTTCAAGATTAATAATAGCATCTAAAATCAATTGGGAAGAAAGTGAAAAGTAAATCCAAATTTCCTTCTAGTGTTCTGAACAAACGTTGTCCAAGTCCTATATAAAGATTTGACGGAAACAAAGCCACGTACATTCTATAAAAACTCCAACGCTGAAGACTTCAAGTGATAAGTAGTAGACACCAAGCTTATAATTGTTGGAAACAAATATATATGCTTGAAATCAGAATAAGTCATTCCCGTATTTGACTCTGATTATAACATTCCTACAAATTTAGAAATAGTAATTATATTTCTAAATGTACTTTCTCTCTTTTTTTTTTTCAATTTTTTATTTTTTATTACATCATTTATTATACTTTTATCGATTCTTTTCTTTTTATCTCTATCTTCCACAACGTATTTCACACCACAATTTAAAGATGTGAACACACTATTTTTTTTTAAAAATAATACTCCATAAAAAAGTGAAAAGGAAAGGAAAAAAAAAAACCGTTCATGAGTACCACTTAAAACATAAATGTTAAATTCCATTGGGTCAACTTTTTTAACTCCAAAACTTGTACACATAAATCTGAAGTATATATGCATAGAAGGTAAGTCAGAATATTAAAAAACAAGAGTCATAGTTCAATTCCTGGTATATTCTGACAAAAAAATCTTAATTTAATAAATTTATATACACTAAAACATTGTTTTGCAGGTAAATTTATTTTTAAATAATTATAGTTTTAGGCATTTAATTAATTTTGAACTCTTATCACTTTTTCTTTAAAAAATATTTATAGAAGGATTTAAATAAATAATATAATATTGAATAAAAACAATAAATGCAATTTTATAAATTAATAAAATTAAAAGTAAAAATAAAATAAATTATAAGTTCAAATATTACTAATGTTTAAAAAATGTTACAAATCAGCAAAATAAATTTATTTGAATATAATGAACTTATAATTTAATTAAATAAACTATAAACTATAAACTATCTGAATAACTAGTCATATATACTAAAAATTTTAATAGAAAACCATTGACACTTGTGGCGAAACACATGTGAGAACATTATGACCGAACAGTTAATTAATAAGCTAGCTCGACCAAATTAAGGAGGAAAAAGGCTTCACGTGCCTTTACTTTGCAACATGATGACAGTTCTTCCATTATGGACTGCTAATAGCTTAATTCTTAATCATGCTACTCATGTTGTCCCAACCCTTTTTATGTTGAAATTTAGCAATTATATGTTGACAAGTGATAGCTGGTACGTACGATACTTTCCCCCATTTGATGTTAAATTAGTTAAATACAAGGAGGGAAACAAATAAAGCACGTACACAGAAAGAGCAAATGGATGCTTAATTTATAATCCGAAAATTAACTGCACCAACTAGGATTTCAGACACTCGCTTTTCATAAGATGTTTGGATATTAAATTAGTAAATTAGTTATTCAATATTTATTTTGTTTTAGTTTGATTTTTTATTTTATTTTAGTCATTTGGCTTTTAAAAGTATTTTAAATGATTTTTAAAAAAAACTTTAACTCTTTTAAAAAGTATTGTTTATCTTCTTTTTTTCTGCAAACTCTAACCAAACATAATACATTTTTGCAGGTTTTTCTTTTATCTAAGTTTTGACGTTATAAGAGAAGGAGAGCGAGACAATGAGGATGATGAGATTTTATGTTCATATATATGTTCCTTTGCACATTATTAGCACCTGTTGCTGTTATTTTGCTGCAACTACCATAATTGTGGCACTAAACTACTTGTTTTAGACCATGCTGACAATGTTCTTTTATAGTCACTCTCAATCTTTTTCTACAACTTAATGACTCAACTAAAAAATTATTGTAATTTGTTGTGTTTTTGTTGAATTTCAAATTGAGTGAAAGGAGTTGTGTAAGCATGAATGAGTGATAGTGTTTTTTAATAGAGTTAACATTTTTTTAAAAAAGAATTTATTAGAAACACCTTTAAAAGTTAAAAGATCAACCACTATTTTAACCTAAAAAGTATTAATATCAAATTTTAAAATAAATTTAAATAATTAATAATGATAAAATTATTTTTATATAAAAATAAGACAAAGAAATCTTAACTATATAAATGATAATATAAATAAGTGCTATTTATTTATATTTTAAATACCAAATTTTATGATAAAGAAGGTGCACTAGTTGAGTATTAATTAATTTTGATTTATTTTAGCTTTTATAAACTTAATTTATTTTTATAAAAAATTTTAATTTAATAATTTGATTGATCAAATTATTTTAATTTATAAAAATATTAAAATTATGATTTATTAAATTTAACACTTAATATCATTGTAAAATAATTTTATTTACTTACAAATAAAAATAATTAAGAGTTCAGATACTATTTGATAGTGTAGTTTGTTTAATAAACACTAAATTACTAGTATACATTTTTGAGATTTATTTTAATAAATAATGCGTTATATTAATATTTGATATATTATAATATATAGTAATAATTTTACTAATAAAATTATTTGTTTGAATAATATATCATATTATGAATTTAATTTTTTTAAATTATACTAATAATATCTAATCTAATAATAAATTATTAATAAATAAAATTTGATGCAGTGATTCACTTGATCATATATATTTTATATACATACGGTGCATGCATATAGATTACATTTAAATACACAGACAGAAACACACGCAACTGTACATATAAATTTTTTATCACTTCCTAATTAATGCACAAATTAATTACACACTTGTGGGAAAATTGATGTGGGACTGGTTGAAAAAGAAATGGGACTCATTTCTCTTTATTTCACATAAATTTTACATGATAATAAAAAATGTTTAAAAAGTTTATAAAAAGAATACATTGCCAACAATCTTCTGTCATTATATTATTATAAGATAAAATAATCCCACGAAGCAAACAATAAAAGTGAAGTGGTAGTAGCTAGCAGTTGCTATTATTTTATGGAATTATAATATTAAATACGAGTATAAATTAAACACAAAGGTTTAGGGGATGTATTACTGATCGAGTTGGAAAGGGTTTTGTTCCACGACTCCCCAAACACTTCCATAGAGTATTCTTCTTCTTGCCCTTACACTTCCAATGCCACCCACCAAGAGGTGCTGAAAAGCCTAACTACATTCTTGAATGTTGGTAGAAATGTAGTTTTTAGATATCAAGGTTCGGTTCTTCTTCTTCTTTCCAAGTCTTTTTGTTTTATGATAGCTCAGTTGGCAACAAAATCTTTTTTTAAGCATACAGCAAATTAAAACCAAGTAACATTTTTTCAACAAGTTCTTTTTTAATACCACTTTTAAGACCATCGGTTCTTTTTGTTATTCCTTTTCGTCTCTTAGGGGTTTGGTTGTGTTAATAATATGGAGTATTCTTTTAATTAATTCTCAAGAGTTAGCGTATTATTACCTCTCTCTCTTTTTTTCCTGTAAAATATTTTATACCAAATTAATATTTCAAACATACCAAATAGTTATCAAATTTACCTTTTTGTACAAGGACTTTGATTCTTTACATAAACAAATGTGGTTTATATATATATATATTTCAGTTAGAATAATTTTTAGAAAGCTAATAGAATAAAGATAAACTCCTACTTATTTGAAGATAATTGAAGAGTTGAATTAGTGTAATTGTATATTTAATCTCTGAAATTGGTGTTATTTGGTACTTTTCATTGTGTCACTTTAGCAAGAAGCGTGATAAACATGTGCACTGGTGCTGAATCTCGAAGAATAGTAGATGGTGACATTGTGATTTCAAAGGGTGGAGGAGAATACAATGAGGGGGGAATGAGAACAAGAGAAGGTAGTGGTGAAGGAGCAAGAAATGTTCAAGGCCTTCTTCAACGTTTACATCACCTCCTCAGAGCCCTTCTCCCTACCCTTTCTCTCTCTGAGGTTTGTAACAATCTCTTCCTGTGCTTGTTTTTTCATTGCGTAAGTTTCTATGTTGCCGCGATTTTGCCTCTGGAAAATGTTCTTACAACATAGATACTGCAAAGGAGACTGTATGCTATTCATTTTTATTAAACTTTTGTAAGTACTTAAATGTTGTTAAATAGTAATTTTTTTTATTTGTTAAGAGTGTTTACTTTTATCTTTTGGGTAAAAATTGTTAATATTTGAAAATATTATACTTTTTATTTAATTAATTTAATCGTGACTTTGGTGCTTTTTATTTGTTGGTTGTGTGATTTTGATTTTTCAACTAACTAAGTCTTTTATTTTTAAATTTTAATAAATCAAGTCCTTCTGTTATTTTTTTATTTAAAACTATTAAATTCTTATTTTATTAAAATATTTGAGAGTTTTGATGAATTTGAAATTGGAATAATTTTTAAAGTTTAAACTTCAGAAATTTATTTAAAATTTGATGAAATTTTGTGGATTTTATATATAGTGAGTTTAGGATTTGAAGAGAAAAAAATTGATGTGTTGGTTGGTGAGTTTTGAGTAGAAAATTGTTAAAAATTTAATTAATTCAGTCTGTAAAAGAATGTATGTGAAAGAAAATAAACTTAAGAGTATTAGATAATAAATACACAAATATACCAAAGTTATGTAATTTTAATAATGAAAATTTTAAGTGACACAAAAAATTATAAAATCACACACAATTCAACTCAAGAAACCAAAATATAATTATACTAACTGAATAAAATAAACTAAATAATACTATTTAGCATGGTAAAAGCTTTTTTTTTTGTTTCTTTCTTGTTATTACTGATTGTACTCCTGGCCATGGTTATGATATTTTCCCTCCAGAAGCATAGTTGTTAAGATGATGGTGCTGCTGTTGGGTGTAGGGTTTAATCATGTTATTTTGTTCTTTCTCTTCCTCAGTAATTCAAAAATACTAAAAGTAATTGCAATAATTTTACGGTAGCGTATTAAAATGCCAAAACTACAAAAGTCAATGACAATAATTGAAGTTTCAACATTTACTTTTTTGGTTCTATTGATATCATGGATAAGTATCGATAAACTTAAATCTTTAAAATTAGTTCTTATAAAACATTTTGTTAATATTTAATTCCTAATATTTTAAGGTAAAATTAGTTCTTATATAAAATTAAACATTAACAAAAATTTTGAACGATTAAAACTAACTTTTTACACTTGTAAAATGATAAAAATAAATATTAATAATATTTTTGTAGAGACTAATTTTATACAAATAATCAATATCGATCCATTTTTCAATCACTAATTTAATTTTTTACTCAAATTAATGTGATAAGAGTTTAGTGTGATAATGTTACGAATTCTCCTTCTTTAAAGACTGTTTTATTACAGGCCTCTTTATAATTTCCTCTATAGAAAATGTGTTTGTTGCTCTTATATTTTGGACTGAGAAAAAGTGGCACAACTACACTGCCTTTGATTATAAAATAAGAAACAGGTTGGCAATACATAGCATAAGCTTTGTCTAATTGGCTAAGGTGCTCGAATCATACAAGTTCCGCATTTTAAGGTGGAAGCTGTTGTTACTCTAGACTCAACGTGTGTTCTCTAGGCAATCAATAATGATACCATATATTTTAATTTTAGATTTTTATTTTCACGGACTTCACGGTAAAATCATTTGAATTAATAAAAAAAATTACAATAAGACTAATGAATTATTTAATGACTTGCATCAAAATCTCTGAAAAATTTATGAAGATAAATTTCAAGCCAATATCATTAGTCCTATTCAAACGAATTGGTCAATTTATATATGCAACACAATAGTAAATTAAATTGGACTTATGAATAGATAAAAAAAAAGTCCTTAGCAACCAACAAAGGTTAGGCCAGATCAGAACCACTTTTTTCTTGGGCTATTAGAAAATATAAGTTTATAAACTTCTATAGGTAATTAGTGCGTTGACACATAATATGTTAGAGTGGAACGTCTGATTATTTTTTGAAATTTAATGTGAGACACATCAATGTATAATAATATAAAAATATCATTTTTTCTTAATTTAAACATCGGTCAGATTGTCTTTAAATAATGAAATATTAGTTCCTAAAAGAATCTAGTAACATTCATATATAATTTTTAGACATTAAATAAAACATTATTATTAGAATAAATAAGAGCAGTAAAGAATATATAAATAATTTTAATATAAAGGAGAATATTAGATGTTTTTAAGAAAATAATCACGTTTTTATATAATTTAATGAAACAGATTGTATAATATAAGCGATTATTTTCTTGAAAAAAATAACTAAGCAGATCATCCGCTAATAATATGTATAGATATTTTGTGTTATAATTTTAAATAACATATAAGAACATAGATATAATAACTATTATTATCGTCATTCGAAGATAGATACCTGTCCGTTTCTTAAGCCCGTTACTAATCCTTAGAAAAACACAGCCCAACTTTTTTCATTAACTAGAAACAATGACTTGTTGTAACTAACTGTAGATTGTAGTGTTGAAATTACAAGTTATTTGTAACTAAAACTATAATTACCAAATGAAGCACACATTTAATTATTTTAAATGAAAAGATCATCTCCTTGTTTGGCTGAAAAACAAGTGCGTGCCACTTATCTTTTGACAAATATAAAATGCACTTGATGCAGGTGAAAGAAGAGTTTAAATCACTGGTGAAAATTTCGTGTCCAATAATGATGACTAATACACTTATATACTCTCGATCTGTCGTTTCTATGCTCTTCTTGGGTCGCCAAGGGAAAGTAGAGCTAGCTGGAGGTGCACTTGCAATTGGGTTTGCGAACATCACTGCCAATTCATTCCTAAAGGGTCTTACTATGGGAATGGATCCAATTTGTTGCCAGGCATATGGAGCAAAGAGATGGTCAGTTCTTAGCCAAACCTTTTGCAAAACCTTGTGTCTACTCCTTCTTGTTGCCATACCCATTTCACTATTATGGCTAAACATGGGACCCCTTCTTCAATGGCTAGGCCAAGACCCTGAAGTCACAAAAGTTGCCCAAGTTTACATGGTTTTCTCTATCCCAGAATTGCTTGCTCAAGTTCATCTAAACCCACTAAGGTCCTTCCTAAGAACCCAAGGCTTAACTGCCCCACTAACTATAGCTGCCTCTTTTGCAGCCATTTTACACCTTCCCATCAATTATTTCTTGGCAACATATTTAAAGTTAGGGGTAAAAGGCATTGCATTAGCCACAGGTTTTAATTCCATAAACATGATTTTAGGGTTGGTTCTTTATCTTCTTGTGTCAAAGAAACCTCTAAAACCATGGGAAGGAGCTACAATTCTCTCTATTCTCCATGATTGGAGACCATTACTAAGCCTAGCATTGCCTAGTTGCATTTCAGTGTGCTTAGAGTGGTGGTGTTACGAAATAATGCTTTTTCTATGTGGTCTGTTAAGCAATCCACAGGCCACGGTTGCTACCATGGGTGTGCTTATTCAAACAACTGGGTTCTTATATGTGTTCCCATTTTCAATAAGTGCTGCATTGACAACAAGAATTGGTCATTCATTAGGTGCGGGACAACCTTCTCGTGCCCAAAGTACTGCCACTGTAGGCCTTTTCTTCGCATTTGGCTTAGGGGTCTCAGCCTTCATTTTCTTGATGTTTATGAGGAAAATGTGGGGGAAACTTTTCACAAGTGAGGTACAAATTGTTGATATGGTCACTACCATACTTCCAATTTTGGGGTTGTGTGAGATTGGTAATTGGCCTCAAACTGCTGCATGTGGGATTTTAACAGGAACTGCACGCCCTTATGTGGGTGCAAGAATAAATTTGTGTGCATTTTACTTAATTGGATTACCAGTTGCAATTTTTGCTGCTTTCATACGTAGATGTCAATTGAGGGGTTTGTGGCTTGGAATGTTAGCAGCACAAATATCTTGTTTTTGTATGATGTTGTACACAGTGATACAAACAGATTGGGGGCACCAAAGTAAGAGAGCTGAACAACTAGCTCAAAGAACAATAGAGGAAGAAAATGTAAATGATGAGGAAAGTGGGCTCCTTAATTCTGATTTATGACACATTTTAAGCAATTTGTTCGTAGTGTTAGTCACCAATACACAAACAAGTACTAGGCATGCTCATTATTGAGATTGATTATCATTGTTCATTCATTAATGTAGGAAATATAGCTACATTATTTCTTCATTCTTTTCAATCATAATCACTCAGATGTACATATAAAAAGTTACAAACTTGTTCACAGTAAATTTTTAAATAATAATAATAAACCATAACTTGAAGCTTTACAGATACAACTACAACATATATAATTGAGGTGTTGACAAGACAATTTACTAAAATTGAAAACAAACTTAGACTGGATATAGATATTGATCGATGAAGCAAAATAAGAAACTTAGAGCTGTTATTTGAATCGGCATTCACAAGCCCACTATCGATTTTGGATACGATAATCGATGGTTGTCATTTTGCTTTTGTAAAAATACGTTGAACGGAAAAAAAAAATCTTACTTCCAACAAAATCAGTTTCAATTGTAATACAAAATGACACTTAAAAATAGTTAAATTTGACTAATTATAAGTCAAAACTCATGCTTAATTATATTATCATTACAGCTTGCCTCCAAATTTTTAGTTCTTACATATTATAAATAGATTATTCTCTACGTTGTAAATAATCTATTAAAAGTAATAATGTATGATACCTTATAGTTTTTACTTTTCTTTTCTCTTTTTCTTAATATAAAAACAAATTTAAAATGTATAAAAAAAAGACAGCCAAGATATTAAATTTTTAGTTTCCTAATCTCTCCATGCCCAGCAGTATATCTGTTTTTTTTTTACCTTAATTTTCATACAGTCATGACATTCCAAAAATAGGTACAAGAAACACCAAATGATCGATATGAACCACCAATAGCTACGGTTTCCCGAGTTGCTAGCTCCAACATTGGTGATTTTCACGAACCAGAACCCATCTCTATAAAAACACCGATCGTAACTCAAGTCAATCCCGTCAGAGTTTCCAAGCACTCACCAATCTTTTCATCCAAATTAATTAACCTTTGTTCGCAATATTTCGCTACTCACCAAATGACCAAGGTACAGGTTGTGAAGGTAAGTGGCGTGGCTCTGATCATATGCATTGTGGCGTTGGGTACACCCTTATTGGCCATGGCCACATTGACATGCTGTGACGTGAAACCTGTTTTGGAAACATGCGCGTGTTACGTTAAAAGTGGTGGAGACACGGTTCCAACAGATTGTTGCTACGCGGTTTTAGCATTGAGAGACCAAGTCATGAACTGTAGCCAGAGTCGCCGCATAGCTTGCCATTGCCTTCAAGATGCTGCTCGAAGACAACCTTATATTAATGCTACAGCTTATGCTGTCGTTCCTGACAAGTGTGGCGTTCCCTTGCCCTTCCAATTCTCCTACAGCATGAACTGCGACCTGTACACCCTTACTCACTCTTTTCATTTTCTTTTTTTATTTCCCTTCTCCTTTTCCCATCTTTTAAAACGATAAAAATTGTGGTGAAGTTTTTAGATATTATTTTCTGCTGTTTTTAATGAATTAGATTTTATTTTGATAAAAAAGTTTATCATTAATGTTATTGATAATTATAAATAGAACTCTAATTTTGATTAAAAAACTTAATCAACTACAACTAATTAAGTTTTGTCTATTTTTTTCTGCAAGAATATTTTAATGTATATAATAGATAAAAAAATTTATTGAGTTAAATGTGGTTTACTTTCTGTAAATAAGATTAAATTTAATTTTAATCTTTTTATTTTGATTTTTATAATAATTCTTACATGAATGGTGCGATAAGCATCTAATTATCTTACATGAATGACTATTTTAAGATGATATATGATGTGACAGTCAAAATATATGTCATGTTAACTATTAAATAAGAATTATATTCAAAAGTTTTAAAATTTAAAAAAATTATAAAAATAGCTAAATTTAAATTGCAGAATAAAATTCTACCGAGTGTTATTAATCTCAAATTCACTTATTTATTTCTGCTTTTTAATTTGTGGCAGCCTGTGAAGAACTCCAGGGGTTTGCGCTTGAAGCTGCACGGATGCTTCCATCTTTACCAAATAATTTTAAATAAGTTGAAAAGTGATATATATGTTGTGCCTCAGATATTTTGGACTTTGATTTAAGTCTGCATTGTACCCAGCGTTACATACATATTTATAAATAATATGGATTAATTAATATTAAAAACACTTAAATCTATTTAATCTTTATAAACCTAGATAACTTATTATCTCTATCAAACATATCTTTTGCATTTTAGCCAATTTTAACCCACATTTACAAGAATCACGATTGAAAATAATAATATAAATAGCTGCATGCAATGTCAACTAATTAACTATACTTAGTTTAACACGTATGCTCTTACTTTTTAACCATGCTCTTATTTTTAACAAATAAATTCGTTATAATTATCTTCACTTTATCTCGATACACAATCCAATCCTAAATTTAGAGAGAATTTATCACCACTGTGAAATTATATTTCTTATGAGTTAACCACCCATGAAATTTGATTATTTTTATCAAGTAACATGATGTTATTGCTAATATCACATGAATTTGATGGAGCAGAAGAAGATTTTGTGTGGGTTTGAGCAAGAAAAACAAAAATGAAGTAAATAGCAAAACTGAAATCCAAACTATTCCAAAGTTTTGAATAAAGTTTAACTTTGACTTAAATCAGCCTTTTATATTTAACAAAAATCAAGATGACTCAAATTTACTATATAAAAAAATTAGGATGAGCAAATTTTATAATTTACCATATTTAAATAGGCTGAATTTAAATCAGTTTATTTTATCAAACGTAATTCAATCTTTAAAAAAGGGGCCAGTAGTGTCAAAAGTTATCTTAGCTTCATACCTCTGTTTTTTATAATAATTATTATTTTAACATTAATTTAAAAAACTAATTTAAGTATTTCCAAGAAATAAAATTCTATTTAAAAATAAATATTTATTGTATTTAAAAAAATTAAATCTCAATAAATATTTTTTATAAAATTTTAATATTTGTAGACATTTAAAATAATTCTTAAAAGATGGTTTTAATAAAATCATATTTCTTTTAGATTGACGGAATTAAGATTACCCTCTTTCTAGTTAAGTGAAATTTTAAAATAAATTAAATTCATTTAGAAGTATGTAATTCGAAATATAAAGAGGAACGGATAGACTAATAAACACTATTTATGGCTATTTAATATGATTCGTGATTAATGAATAGTAAATATTAAACTTTACAAAATGATATTTTAAATAATTTTTATCATAGAAAAATTTTATCAAATTTTATTTTTGAATTACGTGATATTATTTTTTTATTATGTAAATAAAATTTTATATAATTTAAAATTTATAAATATAATTTAATAATTATTATATTTTTATTTTAAACAATTGGCGCGCCTTATTCAGGCCAGTCCATTAAAGGTAAATGATTTCAGAGTCTGATTTTAATTTAAGTTTAAAGAATGATATTTAAAATAAGTAATTTTATTTTTTTTTTACAAATTTAGTTTACATTATTAAACTTGTCAGATCATATTAAAAATTTTTAATTTAATTTAAACTTAACTGAAATCCAAGCAGGTAACCTTCAATATTAGTGGGCTAGCCATGATTTGGGAGTGTTGGTGGTAGAATTAAATTGCACTCTTGAAGAGTTAGTGAGTGATGATTTAGATTTTGTTCCTGCAAGGTCTCTATATATAGAGATTACCGATTTAATGCGAGTTCGTTAAATATGAGGTGAGCTAAGGAATGGTAAGTCATTACCTTTTGATTTCATAGAATAGTTTAATGCATTAATAAATGACCACTTTTTGAGATCCAAATTAAAAGTAGATAATCCATTTCTATATATATGTCATGTTTGGCTTTTCCACTTTCCGCAGCGTATATCTTCTGTTTAAGTTGATTTTTTTAATTGTTTTTATGGATTAGTATTATTAATTAATTATTATAATAATTTCAGACTACTAAATAATATTAATTTTGAAAATTAATTAAATTTGAGTCATTCACTTAATATTCAATGATTGCTCCATACTCTCTCATTTAACACAGTTACAAAGATTGAACCCATTATATTTTAAGTTCTAATTTATTTCTTCATTTACTTACAAACGGATTAAATAATTCATATAGTTACATCTTTTTGTTAGTCACATAATACAAGTTTTAAAATGTAATTTTTTTTCATGATTATGATTTAGTTGTGTAAATTATTGGAGAAATTATTATAAAAAATTAATATAAAAAATCAATAAAACTTTTTTCATAAGACATAAACAACTTATCTTCTTAAATTTTGAAACAGTTAAATAAGAGAATTTTTATAAAAATAGAGAAACATAAATTTATTTTAATTTATTGAAGGAATTTGACTTTTATAAATATTTATTGAGAATTTTATCCAAATTCAACTCAAGTTTATGTGAATTGAAATGAATAAATTTTATCATGGCCTAGCTCACATTCTTCTTTTGTGAAGGATCCAATTTAAAAGGTCACCGTAAAAAGAGGAAGAATTTTTAAGTTCAAAGAGTTATAGATGAAGGGTGAGAGGGGCAAAAAACGAGAGAAAAAAAAAAGAGAATATTTTTATCAAAGTTGAAAGGAGTGAGAAATGATTTGCAGAGTTGTAAATGTTAGTAAAAGGATGAAGAAAAAGAAAAAAAAATATTTTTGTTGGAGTTTTAAGGGAAAAGAAAATGTGTTATATATGAGGGTGTAAATAAGAGATAATAGGAGGAAGAAAAATAAAGAAAGCAAAAAAAAATATTTGCTAAAAAATGCTTAGAGTTCATAATAAAGAAGAAGATGAAGAGTGATGTTTTAATGGAATTAATATTTTTTTTGCAAAAAATAATTTATTTAAAATATTTTTGTAAATTAAGAGATTAAAATGAAAAAAATTGTTAAAAACTAAATCAAAACAAAACTAAGAAATAAAATACTAATTTCTAACTTAGCTTTTTTTAATATCATTGTTCACGATTTTGAAACCTGATTTTTTTAATGAATATTTCTTGATTTGATGATAATATTTTACTATATTGTAGACTCTTTAATAATGTGTTACTGCTGCAGAGTTATTTCTCTGCCCCTTATAAAAATCAAATGTTTCATACATGTATGTTGATTTAATATTTTTTCATTAATATATATATAGATATTTTATATAATTATAATTTTATGAATATGACTTTGTAAAATGTTATATACAAATAAGCAATTCAATTATGTCTGTGTTGTAATTTTATGCTAATTTGTACTACGATTCGTATGAATTTATCTAATTCTTGCAACGCCTTGTTAATAAAAATTAAATAATTTTTATTTCTTATTATTTATAATTAATATTATAATATTATATATTATCAGTACATTGTTGTTGCTGTGATTTATGCAATTAATTAATATAATATTATTGGTTTTTGTCAAATTTGCTTTTGCAAATTGTATTTTTTTATTAGATTTAAATAAAATTATTATATATTTTGGTTTTAGTCTTCATAAAAAAATTATTTAGTTTTAGCATCAATATTTAATAAAAAGCATGTAATTTTATTTTTATTAAAAATTAAAATCACAATTTTTTTTCATTTTTAAGGACTAAATCAAATAACAATGTTATAGGAACTAAAATGAAAATATATAATATTTTTAGGAACTAAAAGTTTTTTTTACTAGCAAAAAAAATTGTTTTTTTTTATTTCAACTTTAGATCGATAAGTGTACTGCATAAGAATATAGAGTTAAGCAACTTAGGATTATTGTCATTATAACGTCAAAATTCCCCTTTTATTCTTTTAATATTTTGATAGCATATTTTTTCCATTAAGAACCTTAATTGTAAGAGTGAAAATAAGAAAGAAATGTCTTATTCTTAAAATAAACAAGTACATGTGTTTCTACAAATTGATGAAAAACTTATACAAAATTAATTTATTGATTTTATTTTATTCTAATTTTTAGTATAGATTTAAGTAATATTCTTACAAAACATTGCCTTTTTCCCTGCTAATAGATAAATATTGTTAATTTAAATTGTACTCATTGTTAATAAGTGTATATTGTAAGTGCAAGTGTCTTAAAAGTACAGAAGAAATATTTTCTCAAATTTTTTAAAACAACAAAAAAATTAAACATATATAATAAGAGAATGAAGAGGGAATATTAGTGAGGAGAAATCCATTATCACATTGGAGGATCAACATTACTAATTCTTTTCGAAGTGCAAATCACAATAGTAGTATATAGTAGTCCCCAGTGGGGACCCAGACACACAATAGAGGCATTAAACCATCTTTTTTCTTCAACAGAATTAAACCATATTTATTCTCTCTATGCTCGTATCACCACGAAACAAGTAGTCAACAAACGTAAAGGTTCATGCAAGCTGCTCAGCTTATCCTGCAATTAATTAGCAAAGTGAATTATAAAGAACTATATTAAAAGTTATAGACTCACAATATTTATATTTATAAAAATAATATTTTTATATTAGTATAAATTTAAAAAAATTTATATTTGTCATAAGTTTTTTTGTTTAATTTATATCAAACATGTCATAATTTATATCTTTATTAACTATTAAATATAAGTTAAACAAAAACTTCAATTCGAGGGTAAAAGTTTTTAAATTTACAATATTGTTGAAAAGATGCTTTCCTTATTTTTATTAGACTAAGATAATACGAACTAATGGAGGCAAACCAATTGCAAAACTATTGGTGCATAAATATGGCATATAAATAAAGAGAGGGGTTGATGAAGAGTGATGTACGCACTTGTTGCAGTCAACGGAGGGGGTGACCTTGTAGGGCAAGTTGATCCCACACTTGCCAGGGAGGGCTGCAAGGGTTGCAAGATTGAGTCCAGGAAAGTTCACAACGGATTTGAGGCACCTACACACTCCTTGACGATCAAGGGTGGTCTTGGCTTGGTTGTACACGCTTCTAGCCCCGTTGCAACATGCTGCAGGGACAGCTCCACCACCAGCTCTCAGGTACCCAAGGCATGGTGCCACTGCGAATTGCACTGCGCCACAAGAAAGAGCACCTTCTGCCATAGGACTACCCAATACCATCCACATCAAGGCAATGGAGGTAAGCTTCATCAGCAGTGGGCTAGCCATGATTTCCAAGAGTTAATTGGAGGTCGAAATTGCACTTCAAGGGTGTGTTTCTGAGTGTGGAGGTTATGCTTTTCATGTTGTCAATTTAAAGACCTTATACAGAGAATATAGATTCCACTTGCCTTCATTAAATGAAATTAAGGTGAAGCATGGAATAGTAGGTCATTTTATTTTAAAATTTTTTTCTAACGTACATTTAAATATGCACAAATTTATACATAATATTTTTTAAATTAATTATATCAATAATATTAATTATTATAATTTTTAAAATTAATTGCGCATGTTAAGCAAATTGTTTTTTTAATATTATAATTTGGAAAAGTTGAATGAACTACTTGTTTAAAATGTTGCTTGTATAACATTTGTTGCAAATCCACTAATATAAGACTTTTAATCTCTTTTTAAGCCTAGATTTGTAACTTCAAATTTTCGTTCCACCCTTGAGTCATATATTTTTTATGTCACACGTCTATATTGTTTTTTTATGCTTAAATTTTATTTTATTTTTTGGCTTTGAATTTAGACTCTAATATCGTATTAAGATTTTAAATGTGAGTATAATCCAACAATAAACAAGAGTAATTGAACTAAACTTAAGTGATTTACTTAAAATATCTTTAACAATTTTAAATTTAAAATCCTATTATTTATATAATTTTTAATTTATTATTAACCCACTAACATGAGAATATATATATCTTTAACATTTAATGCAACCAAGGCTGGTCACCAGCTAAAACCTATTACAAAATAGAGTGAGTACCAAATGCTTATACAAATATGTCACAGTTCAGAGATGGGTTGCAGTCCTAATTAAAACTTGATCATTTGTTTCTATATATGTAGAGCCATGTGGTTTGGCAAGTTTCTGCTTCCCCCAAAATGATTTTGGGCCATGTGTGATTTTTTATACAAGTGACCTCTTTGGACGAAATAACTTAATTTTGTTTATATATGAAAATGTTTTATATTTTGTCCCTGAAACTTTTATTGAACTTTAGCGGAAAATATAATTAAAACATTAAACATTGAAGCTAAATCATTTTTTTAGCTTTAATATGGTGCTTATTTCTGAGCACAGGCAGATTGAAAATAGTCTTTGCAATCTTAGCGTTACGTTGTTGCTATGATATTGTAGATCTAGGAACACTTAAAATTTCATCCATCTTGTTTATATAAACATTTACATATTGATATATCTTTTTCACTCATTTATTTATTTATTTTTATAAGCTTCGTATTGAGCCAGTGATACACCGACACTTCTTTGGTACTGTATACCAAGTCTCTCTCTGATTTGCAATTTTCAATTCTTTGGAACAAATAGCAATATTTACATACGTACCCATTCTACTCGAGTGTTTGAATAAAGTATTAATTATTATTATCTTATTATCACCACTTCTTATCACACATAACTTTGTTTTGCAGGAATTTTAAATATAATTATTAAAAATAACACAATTATATATAATATACATCATAATAACTTAATACAATTCCAACTATATATAATTGAATAATTATGTTAAACGCGTACCTGATGAGAACCCACGAGTCATAATCAATCCCGATGAGAACCATAAGTCATAAGCAATTTTTGTTTTGAGTGAGCGTGTATTACTCTCTTATCTGATTGCTATTATCCCACACTGGTAACTGTCTAATGGGGCAACAGTTATATAAGCCTAATCATATGAGAGCAGGAACCTCTCACTGGGCACATAGAATAGTCCAACCCATCACGTACTATTCACACTAAGAGCTCAATTACAAAATCTATATAATAATTATTATTATTATTATTATACACATTTATTTTACGTCATAATTAGTAACAATATAACCATAATAATTTAATAATGCTAATCCACAAATTAATATAAATATTAATATTAATGTTAAAAAATCTAACATTCTCCCACTTGAATAGCATTATTAAATTACTAAGTCCACAAACTATGTTGTCGTAACAAGTTATTAATTATCACCAAAGAAATAGTAAGCTCTCGATAGTATACAATTATATCCGATAGAGATATACATTACATACTACAAGCAACTTATATTCCAATCACAATATAGATAAAGGAAACATAAATATCATTTTCACAAAGGTTCAAGTATAAAAAGATTGTCATAAAAGTGACGTCAACAAAACATATATCTCATAAAGAAAGTAGATAATAATGTCAACAAACAAATACAAAATTTAACTCCCACTAATCCAAAATATCAAAAGACTTGACCAGACTTATATGAGCTACATGATTTTAAAAAGCTCTAATGGTTAAGCCTTTGGTTAGTGGATATGCGAATATATTTTTTGTAGCAATGTACACAATTTGAGTCTAAAACTCAAGTACTTTCTCTCTAACAAACAAATACTTTAGATCAAAGTGTTTCAAACGAATAGAACTCTTATTATTCTAAGAGAGAAGTATAGCAGCAGTATTGTCGCAATAAATCACAAGTGGCCTAAATATACTGTTAATAATGCGGAAGCCAGAAATCAAATTCTTTAGTCACGTAACCTAGCGTGTAGCCTCATAACAAACGACATATTTTGTTTTCATAGTAGAAGTAGCTATAACTATCTATTTGACACTTTTCCAAGATACAACTCCTCCCGCCGTCATAAAAATAAAGCCTGAAGTAGACTTACGGTCATCAGGGCAACCTGCAAAATTGGAGTATCCAATGACCTGAAGTTGATCAGACTTTGCATAGGTCAACATGTAATCTTTGGTTCCCTGCAAATATCTCAAGACCTTCTTCACGGCTTTCCAATGACCTAAACATGAGTTGCTCAAGTATCTATCCAAAGCATTAACAACATAAGCAATATCAGGATGAGTACAAACTTAAGCATACATCAAACTCCCAACAGCGGAAGCGTATGAAGCTTTCTCCATTTCAAACAACTCTCTATCATCATGAGGACACCAAAAAATTAGAGAGTTTCTCACCCCTTTGAACAGTCGCGACACATAGGGAGCAAGAATACATATTAAACCTTTTAAGGATCCTATCAATGTACCCTTTCTGAGACAATCTAAGAGTAACACAAGACCTATCACAACATATCTGGATGCCTAGAATAACATAAGCATCATCAAGGTCTTTTATATCAAAATGGCTACTCAATATATTCTTTGTTTTATTCAAAGATATCATCAACATGTACGATAAAGATGATAAAATTGCTCCCACTCATCTTCAAGTAAATGTATAGATCTTAAGCATTTTCCTTGAAGCCAATAGAAATGACCACTTGGTCAAACTTCAAGTACCACTGTCTAGAAACTTACTTTAAACCATAAATGGATTTTATTATTCTATAATTAAATTCAAGTTATAACAAAATTTGATTTATGTTAGTCCACACAAAATATTCAACAATTTATCTCTTGGACAACATAAATCAAAATATTTTATTATTCTAAATTAATCAACAATATATGGCCATAACAAGATGACAAAATAAACTAACACGAACTATAAACATCTTAACAATGCAGAAAATCATACTCCAAGGAGTAGTGATATCATACATTATAAGATACTTATATCATGTGACTCAACAACTCTAATAGTATAAGTTGGACAATAAAATTTAGAACCCCTGGAGTCTACACAATATCTTACAAAGAAACTGCTAATTAATTTTATGAACAATCAAAGATAGTAAGATTTTTCCGTCTTATCAAATTCCTTAAGTTTCTTGCCTAGAGGCACTATTAAGATTTCACAATTTTGCGACAAATTTTTGCCAAAGAATTTGTCACTAATTTATCGGCAACGGATATTGTGACTAAACTTACTTCTTAGTACTACTCATCTCAAGAACATTGTCTATAATGAACTTCATAATTACTAAACATATTTTATTAGAATGAGCCCATTTAACATGTTTTACTATAACCGCAGCGGAAGATTCAGGTATACAAACTTTAGACTTATTCTCAATAAGGGCAACATTCACATTAGAAAATGGCAAGAAACAATTTAACAGAGTCAACTCACTCCTCATAATTGGTCCTGTTCAAAGTTTTCACCGAGGTGGGCATAGACACTGATATGGGAAACAACAAAGTTTAATATGCGCAATTAGCTCGAGTGCAACAATAATATGCCCATCACAAAATTTCTTACTTACTATAATCCCGCCTAAGGGTCCCGGATCACAATAAATAAGAAAGACGAATACAATGCACAAAACTTCATGTCACAAGAATCCTAACACCGATAGGGTATTAGTACAAAATTGACATAAGCAAAACACAATTGCATAGTATTTTCAAATCACATTAATAACAATACATCAATAGGATATAATTATTATTAATGCAATATATAATTATATAATTTACACAAGTCATGTATAATGGTCTTACGATAGGTGGGATGACATTTATACAGAACAATCATGCATTCAGAATTAATTTAAATATGTATATTATGCATGAAATCATAATTATACCAAAATTGCATCAAATAATTTATATAAAACTAAATTATTATTTTTTTAACATATATGACATTCAAAAAAAGAGTGAATAGTATAAAAAAATGTCATAAATATCAAATATTAGTATAATCATGTATATAAAAAAAAATTGGATCATATTCCATCAATACAATAATTATTTAATTAATTTATGCATGAGTTAATTAATTAAAAAATATTTACAATGCCCAAAAAATTATGAAAATTGTCCAAAAAATTTAATATCAAAATAATCATCCACTCGACGCTCTCTCAGCCATGCGAGGGGGCTTCATACACTTCAAAAAAAAACCCATCAGTGCAAAACAGGTCCAACAAATTCAGAAACTCAACCCAGTTCAATCTTGCATTCTAAAGTACCAATTCATATTGTTACAAAGGGTGTATTTTGAACAACAAAAGAGAGTTTCAAAGGCTAAAACACGCGCAACCATGGAGGATTCAAAGTAATTGAGAATTCAAGCAACCCAAACAGTTTCTTTCAACG